ATTACCCACCAACGTCAATTCCAAGGAGGGGCAGTTATCAGTACTCCAGACACCAGATGGGGATGAGGAGGTGTGGCTGGTCTGAAGTCAAGGAGGTGGGGGGTGGGGGGGCTAAAAAGCCTAGTTCTCAAATCCATCAGGTTTTCTCTAAAGCAAATCCATCACAGGGTGAACGGAACACACCACTGTTTATTCAGTTAGTTCCAAAAGGTGTCAGAAAAAGCTCAGGAATGTTTTGAAGATGTGCCATTCTTACATTTGCGGCGAGGAAGTAGGAAAATCAAACAGTGAAGCAAAAGCAGGCAAGCCGGGGAGCGCCTGGGTGGCTCAGTCGGTTAAGCGTCCGACTTCAGCTCAGGTCACGATCTCGCAGTCCGCGAGTTCCAGCCCCGCGTCGGGCTCTGGGCTGATGGCTCAGAGCCTGGAGCCTGCTTCCGATTCTGTGTGTCTCTCTCTCTCTGCCCCTCCCCTGTTCATGCTGTGTCTCTCTCTGTCTCAAAAATAAATAAATGTTAAAAAAAAAAATTAAAAAAAAAAAAAAAAAGCAGGCAAGCCGGATTTGGTGGAAATGAGACTTCTAATATAGTATAAAGAAGACAGGGAATCAATAGCAATGTTAACCCTAAAAAAGGATGGGACTCAGTCAGAGCTACTGGCTAAGGGGCACCTGGGTGGCTCAGTCAGTTGAGCATCCAACTTCAGTTCAGGTCATGATCTCATGGTTCGTGAGTTTGAGCCCCGCATCGTCCTGCTGCTGTTAGCAGGAGCCTGCTTCAGATCCTCTGTCCCCACCCCCGCTTGCACGCACGTGCTCTCTCTCTCTCTCAAAAATAAATAAACGTTAAGAAAAAACTACTGGCCAAAAACCACTGGCTTGGCGGCACCCAGGTAGCTCAGTCAGTTAAGCAAAAGGGACAAAATTCTTGTTTTGGGCTCAGGTCATGATCTCACGACTCGTGGGGTTTGAGGCCCACAAAGGGCTCTGCACTGACAGCACAGAACCTGCTTGGGAATTCCATCTCCTTCTCTTGCTCCCTGCCCCTCCCCCACTCATGCTTTCCATCTCAAAAATAAACATTAAAAAAGAAAAAAAACATTGGCGTGGGACTCTGGGGTCTATGGCATCGATTATTAATTTGGCAAATGTCCAGCCCGGATCCAGCCTGCCTTATGTGCATAGCCATATGTTGTACCCCACTGAGTTCATTGCCCAATCAGATGTTGGACACAGACACGTCCAGAACCGACAGGAACTGGACAATTAGAAAAGCCATCCAAAATGGGGTCTTTTTGTTACGTACCTAAGACACAGACAATATAACCGCACGCAAGGGAGATGAAGGGCCACTAATTTAAGAACACCAGTCTGTACAGACAGAACTGGTCCAACTGGCGAGCATTTTAACCCTTCTGCTGAGAAACTGCAGACTTTAGGATGTAAACAGCTACGAGAATCTCTTTCTGCTTAAGCCTCAATTCCCACCGCAGCGGCTCAGTCTTAAAGCTACCTCTGCCGTGAACTTGCCGGGTGATTTTTGGTACATAGCATAATCGCTGAGTAAATTCACTCCCTGTCACCCATACCTGCAAGAATAACATGCATGAAGGGACTAGCCATGCTCGAAGAAATACTTATTGGCAGACACCACAGATCTTCACCAAGGCTTATCAATGGCGCGTGAGTCTTGGGGCTTATGAATCCTGACAACCCTCTCGCACTCCGGCTGAAGGGATATGGGAGATGGTTGTGCTTCAGTCACACAAACCATGATCACCCACGGTCCCAGGGCCTCTGAGAAATCAGAGGAGACCAAAAAGAAACCGGACAGCAGGAATATTAATCAAGAACAGAGCTCAGACACAAGAACTGCCCTTCGTTATGCTTCTAATGCTGGCAGCCACCCAAGAGCAGCATGGCTATGATGAGGGGTTGTTTAAAAAGGCCTTGGGAATAAATATTTTACAGACTGAAAAATGGGAAATGGGGAAGCTAACCAATTTCCCTCCAACTCTTCCACTTCCTGGCCTAAAGCAATACTGTCCTTGTTATAAACTTACATGGACTCAGAGGAACAAGGCCTTTCTATGAAGCCAAAATTGAGTCATCCTGTGGGGAGAAACATACTAGAAATATTTTCTGCTAAGCTGTCCCTTTCATTTCAGTCAATGTGTCCCTTTCCTTTTCGGGACCTCTGAACTCCACAGAATGTTCACTTGCCAAAGCATTTCTCTGTACTCAACATCTCCCCTTTGGAATATACAGTCACAGGAAACGTTTTAACATCTTTTTCCAGGCCCATGCTAACCTATCATAAGCCTAAATAAGATAATGCACGTGAAAGTGCCTTATAAGCAGTAAAGTGCCAGGTAAGTGTAAGGTATTATTAACCACACTGGCTATCATTAGCCCTTGCTGCAGTCAAGTCAGAAAACGGTTTCCAACCATCTGTTGTGGAGTTTTCTAAGGACTCCCACTAACTGAAAAATCCATACTTTCCTGCTTCCCAGAAAGAGCCATAGGTAGGGTATGGGATGTGGGACTGACCAAAGGCTGGGTCCCACAGCAGGCCTGAGGCTACTAATTTAAATGACACAAAGCAGGGATAGGAGTAAAGAGCATAGGAGAACAATCCTGGTCAGAGTCAAGAATTCCTCAGCATGACTCTGTTCTCTTGCCCCCTGTCCTACAGCTTCAGAGTCTAAGCTAAGCACAGGACAATAAAAAGCATAGGTGACAGACAGGAATCAGTCCACAGTTCCCCGCCCCCACCCAAGCATGCATCCCTCCGCAGCAACCAGCCCCAAGTGCCATCATCATCTACGCATGTGCCCAAGGGTGGCCAGGTCAGGTTGACTTTACTGGGAACATACAGGAAGCCGAAGACGAACAAGGCCATCTGACCTCAGCAAAGAAGAAATGAGGTTCCTATTTCCACACAAGGAAGCCAAAAAGCATTTCTAGAATAGCACTCTGTTGCATCCCTGGCCACTACTTGAGGAGAAGAGAATCACAGAACGCTGAGTGTCCAGAGCTAGGCATGCAGCTCTGTGTCATTTGGCAGATGGGTAAACTGAGGCCCAAGAAGTTATTTTTCCTCAAAGTCACACAACTGAATAATGTCAGAACAAAGTCTCTACAGTCTTCTAAAAGCTTCTAAAAACCCTTCCACTCAACACCACGGTGCTGCCAGGTTTGATGTCATCACACCAGTTGCAGCCCCAGTCAGGCTAAATTTGGTCCTTTGTTGACCTTCTAGATATGTGGCTGCCAGAGGCCTCAAGACCCCTTTGTAGGAGAGGCACCCTCTGACCCTCACCACCTGCCATCCAAAAAAAGCACTCCTGTCCCAAGAGCCTCCCACAGCAGCGGCTGAGATGCGTTGTTTCCTCTCATTAACAAAAAGCCCATTCATTAAAAAAAGAAAGAAAGAGGACTGGGCTCAAATTTACACAGAAGGGCTAGCTAGGAGAGCCCTGGGCTTCCTGTGTACGGCATTACATCCCAAGAAGCCCTGTCTTAAAAAAAAAAAAAAAAAAAAGAAAAAAAAGGCCGCCCTCCAGCCCCACTGGATGCTGACAGCCACACAGCTATCCACACCCCCCTTGCCACCTCTGCAAAGACAGGAAGGGGCTGGAGGCCATTCGCCACATTTTACAGATTGGGAAACTGAGGCCAGGAACCTGCAATCGAAGGAGGGCCTAGAACACAGAAGGAGCAAGCGCTGGGCACTCCAGAGCCTCGGAGCCACAAGGAGGCGGCGCCATGATCAGCCCAGGCCTCCCCCTGAGACCTCCCAGTCACCACTGACAGCTTGCAACCCCAAGGAGGGTAGGCGACTTTTCCAACCCAGACGCTAATTCGTCTTTTGGCTGTGGGCAAGCAACCTCCCATCCCTGGTCCCTGGGCCCCACCAGGCCTGTAAAACCAAGAAAATAATCTCAACCTCCTGCCCCACACAGGGTTGTCAAAAGTCTCCGGAGAACAACCTTCTACAAATATAAAAGCAATAAAGATGCTAATGACAGGTTTCAAAACTGTCCCTGAATAAAACACACCAGGTTTTTCACAGCCCGAAATCTAAAATAAAGATTTTTTTTTCCCTTCTCTCCTCTTCCTCCTCCTCCGTGATTTTATAGTTTTAGAACATCTCTCCACAAAGGCTGAGTACAGAAAGACTCTCACTCTTGGGCCTCACCCAGATTATTTTTATGTATCTGGCAACTCTCCTTTTCAATCCCATTTGTTTTTCTTAGCACCGCTAATGGGAGGTAAAGAAATCAGCTCTCTGAGCACCCCGGACCATGACCACAGGAAACAGAAGAAGAGTGATAAGATGGAGAGGTTTGCAAAAAATAAATACGCTCTCACCGTGGATAGAGAGCACCAGCCCGGAAGTTCAGGAGTCGGCCTGGGGCCTGTTTCAGAGGGCGCTTAGTAGGAGCTTGGTGCTGCTCCAATGCACACCTCAGAACTGAAAGGCAGACCTCGCCTTAAGAGCATGAAACTCCCCAATGAAAAAAGAGTCATGAAGAGAAACCCATAGAAGTATATCCCCAAAGTACCACAGTGGAGACAAGGAACCTTATCTGACCACCTCCAGGAAAGGGTGTCGTCAGACCTCTGGGAAATTCACTGCAGCAGAGGGGATGGGGGCAGGCCATGGTCCCCAGATGTGATTCAGAAAGGACAGCTGGCTGGGGCTAGATGTCCTGCTTGTGAAAGCCCAGGGTAGGGCTGGGAGGGGAGGGACAGCCTACCAGAGTGCCAGTGGTTCCCAGGGCTCTGTCACTACATCCCTCACCTCCACTGTGGGGCTGACGCATTGTGCAAAGGTGAAAGAAAGCCAAATGTGGAACCCGCACAAAAACAGCCACTCTTGGAAAATCATTTTTAAGGGTCCCGTTTCCCGCAAGATGAAGTGCTCTACACTTCCGAGTGTCCTGAGCACACAAAGGACTCTTATCACTAGGGCTGCCAGGGAAAAAGTCAACACACTCACATGCATCATGGTGACCAGGTGACAAGGGTTGAGCAGGTAGATGACGGTCTTGGTGGCGAACTTAAAGCCCACCTCCACCCCGAAGGTCAGGCACAGGGCTACTAAGAGCAGATTCTTGCTCAGGCTCTCCTTGCCTTCCTCTGGCCGCTGGGTCACCTGCTCTGGCTGGCAGCCACGGCCACCCCTACCGTCCTCCTTCGTCTGCCTCAGGATGTGCCGCAGGGCCACCAGGATCTCCAACAGGGCCAGGGTCAGGACCACCACACTTTCCAGCAGCCGCTGCTGCCAAGAGAGGAAGGCAGCACAGTCGGGGCCCCCATTGCCTGCAAAGCTGGGGTCCACGCCCCCATAGAGCCAGTCCAGGAGACTTTGGTAGCTATACCGGGACATGATGCCAAGTGGTTCCCCTCGACCACCGTGCAGGATGCAAGAGTGAGATGGAACACAAGCCCAGAGGGTTGCCCGGGTGCTGGGACCGGTACCGGAGGGCACACCCCCGCACCCGCACCCCCCTCCAGACACCGGGGCACCTAGAGCAGGGGAAGGGAAGCTACACGCGAGGCCCGGGGTCAAGTGCTGGCTCTAACTTGTCCCCACGGCTGTCTGGGGAGCCCCCCGCGCTTCTCCAGTGGCCACCAACGAGGCAGGGTTGAAAGGAGCCGTTGGCCAATCTAAAAGGAAGGAGAGGAAAAAAAAAAAAAAGGTCTCAAAGAGGCAATTGCATCGGGAATTACGAAGCGGGGCGGGGTGACTAGCGAGGGCAGAAAAGGGAACAGGGGCAGTGGCGAAGCAAGCAAGGGTCAGGGGAAGCCGGAGGCCGGGAGGGTCACGGCGAGGGCCGAGGGGACCCGGCAGTGCCGCGGGAGCCAACCGGGGAGCGGCGGGGGTGAGAGCGAGGGGACACGCGGAGGCCAGGAGAGGAGCTAGCGGGGCCGGGCAGGCGGGGAGGGCGACGGGGATGGCAGGGACGCCGGACTCCTCGTCTCACGCACTCGCCACAGGGGGATCTCTTACTCCTGCAACCGCGTGGCCGTCTCTGCCCCCAGCTAGCAACTTCGCCGCCGACGGGCCCCTCCAGCCAATTTAGCGCCGTCCCGGGCCAGCCTCCCGCCCCCGGGTCCACCCCCGAGCCCCCAGCTCCACCCCCGGCCCCAGACGCCCGCCCTCGGGCAGCACCTCCCCCCTCCCGCGGCCCGCCCGGGACCAGCCCCCCTGGCGCAGGCAGCAGCGGGAGGAAGCCGGCGGGGAGGGAGGAGGGGGGGAGCGGGAGGCCGGGCCAGCCGGGGGCTGGGCTTCGGCCGGCCCCCTCCCTCCGCCCCGGCGCCGCATCTGCCCGCGCCTCCCGCCCGGCCCGGGGACCGGCTGCCGCGCCCCTTGGGGCTCCACTCACCGGCAGTTCGGCCCGCGGCCCCGGCTCGGCGGCCGCTCGCCTCCCGCGCTCCCCGCGCCCCGGCGCTCGGCTCCCCCGGCGGCCGCAGCTGCCGCCGCCGCCGCCACAGCGCGCGGCTCCTCCTCCCCGTCTTCCTCCCCCTGCAGCGGCCGCGCTCGCTTCCTCCTTCTTCCCCTCCCTCTCTCCTCCCCCTCGCCGCCGCCGCCTCCCACCA